GTTAAGAAAGTCGTCTGCATTTTTTAAAAAAGATCAGATAGGTGATTACGTTTGTGTAGTTGATTAATAAAAAGGGAAGTAGGTAATGGTTCACTGGGGAAACTTTTCTATCACAGTATCTGTTATGAGGTATCCCATGCTGTAGGCACAATAACGGGGTGCTAATTCTGAACGCACACAGGGCCGTCCTACAAAGACATCGAGATTTGTAGGAAATCAACCCTCCAGCAGTCCTGGCAAGCCAGACTGACCCCAGCAAATGAAAATAATCAAAAGTAATTAGAAGCGTGCTGGACTACTCCTCAGAGAGCCGGGCGGGAGAGTAAACATGCCTGAATCCTCGAGCCACTGCAAAGGCCCATGTCTGAGCTGTTAGGTGCCCTGACCTTGTCCACATAAAGATGTGATTTATGAAGTGCAGGGCACAGCAGCAGGGCTTCTGTCTTCTCCTGGAGAACCAAATTACTGAGGTGGAGATTAACATGCTTTCAGTCGGGCCCATTTCCAGACCAAGGGAAATTTTTTATTTACATTTTTTTTTTACCTTTAATTTCCTCTTTTCCTTTTTTAAGTCTTCCCACTCCCATAGATTAAAAAAAAAGTCCATCAAGAGAGACCAGAAATATCTCTCTTGAGCAGTGGTAATGTGTGATGACTGTGGTCACTCAGAGCTCTGTTTGTTTGTAAACTCTTATTGCCGGCAACTGCTTTGCTGGGTCTACCCAGCCAGCATCACAGAATACACCTTCAAGTTTAGGGAGCCAAGCCTGTAGAATATGCCCCTGATTAAAATAAATACATTAAAATTAAACACAATTTTACCTTTGATTCCATGGCTTTCCGATCTAGTTTCTTTTACTTAAACATGATGCATCATTACAGGTTTACTCTACTAAGTAGAAAAAATTTGAGAGAAAAAGTTGTAGGTGGTCAAGAATTTGGAGGGAAAGAAAGAGGAGAGACAAACTGGAGTTTCCGTATTGGGAGAAATATTTATATGCAGGAATCAGTGGGGAGTCTCTTGAGTCCTAAAGATACACCTATATTTTTTTCTTATCTTTGTCCCAATTAAATGGTAAGATCTTACAAAATCCGATTCTAACGTGGAAAAGGAAGCATTGATTTTCTTTTTAAACACTCATCAATATCCATACAGGAAGCTAATTTAATTAGCAAGCAGTTATTGTTCAGCCAAATGTCAATTTCTCAGATTATTTCATGCTTCTTGACATGCACTGTATGCAACAGGATTTCACAGGATCTCCATGAATGAAACTGTGCTTGAGAAATGTAAAAATGCACTTGTATGTTCTTGAAAAGCTACAAAAAAAAAACCCAAAAAACCAAAAACGGTGTTAAGACAAAAATGTCAGGCTTGCTGTTTAGTGTATATTTAGCCTCCTCAAGAAACCCAAAGCTGCAGAATTAAGGGAACTCTACTTAGGCTGAGGTTATAAAGTGCCTTCCTCTATAAACTAAAAACATAATGTCAGGGTGAATGGGAACATACTTTATTAACTTTATGGTATTGAAAACTGCCAGCAAGTTGTCTTGTTTTTAAATATTGTCCTCTGCAGAGTGTTACAGGGCTGTTTGTCCACAGGAAGCCTATTAAAAGTGGACAGTGCAGTCATTTCATCTGGCTTTGGCTGGACTGCTTTTCTTTCCTTTAATGATGTGCTGGAATGTACCATGCCCATAGGGTCTCCATTAGCAGAACTTTTACTTCTGGGACAACCATGAAGTTTAAGGCTTAAAAGAGGCATCAGCTTACAGTCTTGTGGGAATCACTTGAATACTGGAGCACTAACTTCTTACTGCTCTAACTAATATATTGACTTATTTTAAATAAACAGTTACACAATGAAGACAGAGCCAGTGGCCTTATTGGAAATCTTTGAGCCTGTTAAAGATTCTGCAATTTGTGCAGATGGGGGGAGGAAGGAAGGGGCCTGAGGAGGGTTTATGCCCTTTTCAGACCAGGAAGAAAACACATTAACCTCTCCCACCCCAGCCCTGCCATCAGCCAAAGGGGGATCTTTACAGCTCCCAGAAAATCTATCAACTCACACTCAAACCTCATATTTTCCAATGCCTTTTTCCTGGTAAACAACAATTAACAGAACAGGACAGAAAAAAACAATCATTCCTTCTGGAAAATGTTTTTAAAATATGATTTAAAAAAAAAAGACATTGCTGCCCAATCACTCGATGTTCTGCTTTTAAGCTTTACATTTGTTGCTGTATGTTCTCCTAGTTGGTCCCCTTAATATTTAGATCATCTGTCCTGATACATGTTTGCAAATTAAAGCTGGTTTGAGATTATAGTAAAACCATTATTTTTAATAGCCCATTTCAAGGGCAGCGCTAAACACTGCAGAACACGCATGTTACTGATTACTGCTGAGCAGACAGCGGCTTTTGCAGATTAATTTGTAACTGGGAACTACTGTAAACAGATTTCACCAGAAATCCCGGGGAATAAAGGGAATTGGTGGTGGTATTTGTCTCCTTGTATTTATTTATTGTTTTAGAAACCTCCTGATGGAAAGCGAGCTAACCGGGGAGAAAACCGCCCTGCTTCAAAACCTTTTCCTCCAGCCCTCCATCTCCTCTTCCACGTCAATTTTGATCAGGGGAGGCAGGTCAGGGTCTTCTCCTAAAGGCTTATTATTTGAATAGCCAGAGGCCCCTTTCATGAGAAATAAGGCCCTTCTAGCTACTCTGGGATTTCAGGACCCTATTTTTAAACTTCAAGTCGTGTCAGGAAAAAGGGAGGTGATTGCTTTTACATGAAGTTATTATATAATCAAAGAGTAGAGGGGGCGTGGTGGGGAAGGAGAGGAAGCGGGAGCGGAGAGAAAGAAACATTGAGATTTGATGTTTGCCCAAGCCCTTTAGTCTTTCTCGCAAGTTATTCAGTAGGGAATAAGACTGATGATGATAATATTAATAAATAATAATGATGAGGCCAAGTAACCCCTTATCTCTCTAGATCAATCTTCCAAGGACTAGGGAGAAAGTGTTAACTCTTTTGGCTCTACTTGGGGAAGAGAAATTCATACGTAGAAATAGCCTTAGCTCAGGCCGGTGTCTGCGGTTCTGGACTGCGGGGTGCACTCGTCCGGACCTGAGGCTCAGGAAGGCGCGGGAAGGCGCGGGATCCCGCGCGAGGCGGAGGGCAGAGCCGGGCTGCTCGCGCCCGGCGGGCGGCAGAGGGTTCACCTGGGTGGCTGGAGCCGCGGGCGCCGCCACTTAATTCGGGGCGCAACGCCATCTACCGGCGTCATGACGCACCTGCAAATACCCAGACCTTGAAAGTCGCCCCGCCTCCCCCACCCGAACCCAATATAAGGGAAAAAAACTTGGAGGCCCTTTCCACGAAATCTTAATTTAGCCAGGACCTGCCACTGATTCCATGCGACCTTTTGTTTATCCACCGACGTTTCCTCCTTTTCAGAACAGCTTTGTAAAGGGCAAGGAGGTGGGGGCCAGGGGCTAGGGCTGGGGATTGGGGCGCTGAGCTCTCAGACCCCCTGATCAGGCCGCACTGTCTGAAGCAATCGGTTCCCCAGATTACTTGTATTTAATACACAATGCATCATAAAACAAATCCCTCATCCTGACAGGAAGAAAATAGAACAGCTCATAGCTTGAGCCGGTCCAATTTATGGCTAAATTAAAAAAAAAAAGGCTCCTACAATGGGCAAGTTGAGGAAGGGCAGGAAATCAATGGCAGCAAACCGGGAGCTCTTAAAGGTTCTCAAGCGCCGAACTCTATGGGAATATCTGACCGGGTTTTAGGTTATTTACAAAGGATTTTTCCTGTCCTACCTACCACTGCTGTGCGATTTTCCCTCAAACAATGGCCATTATCTGAAATAACAGTTCAATGTCACAGATAACAGGCCCCCGAAACGAATTAGTCACCACCTCTTGTCATTTTCTCCCCCCCCACATCCCTCCCTTTTGTTACTATTTTTGTTTTTAAATCAGCATTTTGGGGAAATATAGACCTACTAGATTTACACGTCTATTTGTACTTGGAGAAAACAAAAAGGGACTTGTACTGTCCCCGTTTGCAGATGAAGTTTAACATAAACGCGCTTTCCATCCCCTCCTTCTCCACCTCCCCCCAAGTGTCCCTTGACTCGCTTACTTTGCTTAACTTTCCATTGTTGAGCTGAAAAATTGGGTTTTGTTCATTTGTTTTTATGAGTGGAGTTTTGTGATAAAAAGCGTTTATTTCCATTTAACCGAAGGATTTTGCTAAAATTTCCAAGGTTGGCTAAAGGAAATCTTTAGACCCTTTTATTCTGTCACACATTCCCTATATTCTTCCTTCCCATGTTGTTTCTGAAATGAGTTGATAAAAACTGACCATATATTAGAAAGTTAGGAATCACCGTATGGTGCTGATCCTTCCAAACAATATTCGTGATGTTAAAAGTTTAAAAAAATAATCTGAGTTATCAAATTGCTTAATTACACTTTGGGGCGTTCATGATATTTTAGTTAATGTATCAGAGAATATGGCAAAAACTCACCAGACAATCGTCAACCTCTTTTAGCCCATAATACACTACTTGGGCAAGTTGTACGTAAATAATGTTTCAGGTTTTTCAATTCCTTCTTCTAAGAAAAATCCGTTTTAAAAAGTACCACACTCTTCTGCTCACCTAACTATAATAATAGAGGGAGTACATTAGAGTACGAATTTCAGTGATAATAATAAATATTTGGCAGAAAACTAGAAATGTCCATTTCAACTTTTAAGGCTACTATTTTCTGAGAATTTCTGAACTAATTCTGTTTAGCGTGAGCCAGAGTCTCTGTACCCTAACCTCATCCTCGCCCCCTGCAGCGCCCCACCCCCAGCCTTGGTGCACACACCCTCACACCCCGAAAGCACTTCTCCACCCTATCACTCCCATCCCCCAACACACACACACACACACACACACACACACACACACACACACACACAGAGGCACACTTACTCTTGTGCTTTCAGGACACCGAAACACAGGATATTTCCCTGGGGAAAGAAATCCTGCCTGGCGAGATCTCCCCATTGGTTGTTTACCCGGAGAAATCTACATGTTTAAGGGGGATGGCGCATCCATAATCAGTCTGTCCCTATAGGACTGGGTCTTGGCGACCTTTTTGTGACCTCTCCCGCCAGAGGAGGCTGCTGTCACTTTAAAAATTTACTGAAAGAGGAGCCCGTCTGGCTTCCGATCACTCTGGGCGGCGGGAGATAGCTCCCTTTCTCCCTCGCCCCGGGTTCTTTCTGGATGGCCGAGCAGATCCTCTTTAAAGAGACAGTCCATGAAATAGAAACCCGGCGGCTGAGCTAGGAGTTGCGAAAGGGGACGATCCCGTGAGGGTCTAGGACCGGGGAAGGAGCAGCTGAGGATCAGAAAGGGGGCTAGAGCTCCCCTCGCCTCCCCAGGCCCCCCACCTTTTCAAACTCTCCTCCTCCTGCCTGTATTTTCCCCCACCCCCCCAACCCCCCCGTGGAACTGGGAGAGAGAAGTGGAAGAAGTTTTAGTGGGTTTCAGATAACTTTCATTACACATCGCTGCTGTACCGTACATCCGCCTTCGGTCCGTACAGCAGGAGGGTGGGGGCCGACGGGGCGTAGGGCGTGGGGAGTTGGGGCGGCTGAGCTCTCAGACCC